GCCCACGCAACATTCACAGAAGAGAAATCAGAGGGCTAACATGGAATGTCCTTCTTGCCAAAGAATAGTTAAGTCTTTGACAGCATAGTGTTTGAAAATTTTTCCCCATGGTAACATAAGTCTATCAGCTGTTTAAATATATTTTCCAAAAACACTGCCTGTAGACCCAAGCGGCTGAGTGCTCTGGTAGAATGTTAAACAGGCACTTTGCCTTTAGGCTTTGTATTATGGCTCTGGGCAACAAATTCTTCCTCTTGATGCAGATTTTGGAAGAAAAACAAAAACATTTTTTAATGTTTAGGAGAGAGAGAGAGAAAGAGAGAGACAGAGACAGAGAGAGACAGAGAGAAACAGAGTTCAAGCTGAGGAGGGGCAGAGAGAGAGAGAGAAAGACACAGAATCTGAAGTAGGCTCCAGGCCCTGAGATGTCACAGAGCCTGGCGTGGGGCTCAAGCTCACAAACCACAAGGTCATGACCTGAGCAAAAGCCTTACTTATGCTTAACCAACTGAGCCACGCAGTCACCCCTGAGATTTTGTAAAATTCTAATAGCATTCTAATATTTTTCTGCTGACCATTACTTACATGACACCCTGAGCTCTCAAGTAGTGGGCAATGGGAGAAAATCACATCCTTTTCCTTTAGTTGAAGAGTTCCTGGCTCCCTTCCCACGTCTTTGGAAAGACATGATGGCACGTCTGAGTCCCATTCAGACTTTCAGCGTGGCCTAGGCCTGAGCCCCACATATTCTCCAGGAAACCGTAATGGCTTGTACAGCGGCTTCTGGGTAAATATCACGTTTCCTCCAACGAAACCTTCCACTGCAATAAGTCTAATTAAGGCCAACTTCACAGATAGGGGCTTCTAACGCGGATTTGTGTAAATTAGGAGGATCAATGCCACAGGTTACTTGGAAAATGTAAGGTTGTAGAAGACATGCTTATGAGAAAAGCCTGCCTCAACCCACTTCTCTCACAGGAGACGGTGACCACCAACAGATTGACACACCTGCCACCTGTTGGTCACAGGGGAGTGGCTGAATCGCCTTTGGTGGGTGTTTGGTGGGTGTTTGAAGCCCTTTGGCCTGCAGTCTCAAGAGAGAACAACCCAATGGATCATAAGGACTTTAGATACATAAAGCAAGGGGATCGCCATGGCTGGGTTTGCCTTGGGGGAGATGGGTAAAAGAAGAAAAGGAAAAAAATGAGTTTCAAGACCTCCTAAATTACCTCTTGGAACGATTATTTTTTACAAGAATAAGCAAAAAGAATATATCCTGTGTATTAGACATGAGAATGTATCTAGCACTGACTTAGGTACCAGAGGATGCTATGAGGGCTGGGGGCATTTCTTACATTCTTTCTCCCTCATAGATATCCTTCCAAGGTAATCAGGAGCAAGAGGGATTCCATATGGCACTTGGGCTGGAGACGAAATCGAAAGTGCCACAATATTTGTTGTTGAGACTGGGAAATAGGGAGCCACATAAGAGTGACAGCACTTCCTGACCAAGGCAGGGAAGGTAGCACAGGCTAATGCTGGCAACTCCTCATCCTCTCCAGTAGTCCCAGCTCAGGTTCTGAGGAAACACCAGGAGGTGACAGTTATCATAATGCCCAGTGACTTGATGTTTCATGGTTCATGAATTACTTTTACCTTTCTCTTTCTGGTAGCCCTGGAGAATGTGCTTGATTGCCTAAGCACCGGGAAGCACAGAGTTCCTGTGGCACAGAAAGGATGTGGGGCAGGTGGCTCCCCTCCTCCACATGAGGGATCAAAATATAGAGATTCTAAGTGGCTTGTCACTGGTCAGAGGATGAGCTGGGATGACATCTGAGGTCTTTTGACGGTCCTCCAACATAGGAGTCGACACCATAATAGAATTATCTGCTGGGGAGTTATTTTTATTCTCCAAAAGCTATTATTCACATGACTGAGTGTGCTATCAGAGACTCCATACCCCAACTCAATGTCCTCTGCATATTTCTCTAGGATATATGCTTTTTCTCTACAAGAATGACACAAGTCTTGTGGAGAATAGAAGTTTCCGTCCACCTGTCTTTCCTGGCTTTCTCCTCTTCTAAAAGACTCCCCCCAAACAGGGGAGCAGCAAATAGGGTGTGGGTTGTCTGTGAAGTGTTAAAAGTCGTCTAGATTCCTGACTTGCCACATGTCTTTAGAAAACTAACTCTACAGGCAGGGGCAGCTAGCTGATTCAGTTGGTTGAGCATCTGACTTTGTCTCAGTTCAGGATCTCACGGTTCGTGAGTTTGAGTCCTGCATCAGGCCTGTTGCTGTCAGCACAGACCCTGCTTTGGATCCTCTACCACTCACTCTCTACACGTCCACAGCTCACACTAGCTCCCTCTCTCTCCCTCTCTCTCTCTCTCTCTCTCTCAAAAAAAAAAAATCTAATTCTACAAAACACAGATTTCCTAACTGCTGCTTGAGCAAATGAGTTGACTTATAAAGAAATTATAAAGGAAATTATTTTTAAAATATTAATAAACTCCTCCCCATAATAGCCCCAAACTGGAGACAACCCAGATATTCGTCTACAGAAGAATGGGTACACAAATTGGATATGGCCAAACAGCGGAATACTATGCAACAACAAAAATGAACAAAGTGATGATGCATTCGACAGCACAGGTGAATCTCACCAACAGTAGGCCAAACAAAAGAAAGCTGTCAGCAAAGATACGTTCCGTTCCGTGTGTTTCCATATATGTGAAGTTTAAGAATACGCAAACAGGGGCACTTGGGTGGCTCAGTCCGTTAAGCGTTCAACTTGAGCTCAGCTCATGATATCATGGTTGGTGGGTTGGAGGCCCACACTGGGCTCTGTGCTGACGACTCAGAGCCTGCAACCTGCTTTGGATTCTGTGTCTCCCTCTCTCTCTGACACCCCCCTGCTCACGCTCTGTGTGTCTCTCTCTCAAAAATAAATATACATTAAAAATTTAAAAATAATATGCAAACACATTTATGGTAAAGGAAACTAGATTAGTTGTTTACACATGGGTGGTGGGGGGGCAGGCCTACGTGGCTATTGACTAGCAAGAGTCAAGAAAGTGGTTTGGGGGACTGGAATATTCTTTTCCTTTAAATGGGAGTTACTGTGGAAAACAGGTAAATCTTCCCTGAGCTGAACATTTAAGGTGAGTATTTTTTACTCTTTGTAAATTACACCGCAGCTAAAGTATGAAACACAAAGAAATAAAAAATGATAGTGTAAGTTTCTCTGCACTCTCCCTATTTGCTATAAACCTTTCTACCCTTGTGTCTCCTCTCTGCACAGTTCTGGCTCTGGTTCACTTTAACATCATGCGTACTGTGTGAGTTTTTATAATTTTGATCGTAGCCTTAGATTAAAATTATATAAGTTTACAACTGTAAGCATAGCTGGCAACAAAAGGGGGGGGGGAGAATAGAACTGATCTTTCCAACCGAAACAAAACAGAAAGAGGCCACATATGAGACTTACGTCAATATCTATCCATGCATCCCTGTCCACGGAAGCTTAAGGAAGGTGCGTTCCTGTTGGCCCTAACTTTGGCTCCCGTCATGACACATCTTTCTTCCAACTCAATATGGACCTTCTTATAGTTTTCCGACTTAAGACTCGATGAAGTACAGTGGTTATTTGATGTAGGTCCTCCAAAAAGATTTGTCACCTCTCCAAGGGGTGTTTCACTGCTCTGGTGCTTTATAGCATCTCTTGGAATGTACCTGCCACTCATAATTCACAGATCCACACTTGTAGTCATGGAAAAATAAGGACATTTGCTTGTTTGGTAAATCACCTGTAGGCCCAATGTGGGGCTGGAACTCACAACCCTAGATCAAGAGCAAGCCAGGCACCCCAAGAATAATTTGCCTTATTTCCCTTACAGTTTGGCACCTACTACTACTGTGTGTGTCCTTAGAAAGGCTTTTTTTTTTCCACAGTAGGGAAACTACTGTGCTTTCTCTTTTTCCCTGGTCAAGGAGAGCCTTGAGACATCTTGGGGGTCATTTTAGTTGAATCATTTCATCTTGTCTGTGAAGAACTTACATGTCATTCACTGGATGGTCCAACAAAGAAAGTAAGTCCAGGCCCCTGTTGTTTTGACATAACCCAGCATCTTCACATTTTTACCGTGGCCTACTAGTCTCTATGCTGTCGGCTTTGAAAACTGAATTTATTTGAGTATCACTTTGATTATGAACGAAAACTCACAATATGGGGTAATGGCATCCCCACCATCAGACCTGTCTTTCCATGCCACAGTGATATGACTGTGTGTTTGTGGGAAAGCAAACTTGTAAACGTTACTGCTTGTAACTTAGAAATGCAGGGACGGTGTTGCCAAACCACAGGGTGTCATTTCTTCGAAAGATTGAACACAACTTTTTTTTTTTTATTATAAAATACCTGCTTTTTGTGACACTTTTTTATGGTAATAAAATATCTATCCAAAGAATTTTTCATTTAACCATTTTGAAGCGTTCTGCAGCATTGGCGACATTCACATTGTTGTGCAACCCTCACAACCATCCATCTCCAGAATTTTTTCATGTTCCAAAACAAACTCGGTACCCATTGAACACTAAGTCCCCTTCCCATCCCCTATTGAACTCTGCACTGCCAGCACACAGCTCAACCTGGGGCTTGAACTCACAAACTGTAAGATCATGTATGACCTGAGATGAATCCAGAGTCAGACGCTTAATGGATTGAGCTATCTAGGCACCTGTATTTTTTATTCTCTTGGGATGTGAATAAATGCCATCTGGTATCAGGAGAGCCATGAATAACTCTGTCAATACCAAGAGCTCTAGAGTCTGGCTTTGCCATTTATGTCTGTGTGAGACCTAGAGTAAGTTACTCAACCTCTCTGAGCTCAAGCCCCTCGTTTCAAAAATGGGGGTCATAACTCTATACCTATCATTGGGCTGCTGTGAGAATTGAAATGTGTTAATGTAAATTATCTGGAATAGGGAATGGCCTTTACAAAATGCAAGCTATGTACAATAAATATTTGGTAAGAGGCAGGGTATGTTGGGCTTTCTTCGGAGCCCCAAACGCTACATTAATTGTAGCTTTTTTTTACTATAGGTCGTTCCTCTCTCCTTGTGGATCTTTTAAGGTTGGCTTGACATTTTCCCCTTCCAGTTTCAAATTTCCTGCTGCTACGAAGAATATTTACCATTCCTTAATCTTCTGCACACTGGAGTCCTTCTACGTGGCATATGGGTAATATGTTAACATAAGATACAGGGAGTGTTTAAAATTTGATCATCAGGAAAAACATGTTCTCATTCCACTGGTTCCACACACAGATGCACCCAAACTTCCTTGAACTGGCATACTTTTCTGCATTTGTCACATTCTTCTTCCTGATTCCTCATGCTGTCAAAACTCCTTGGTCCTATGGACCATTCCCTCAGACCTCTATGGGCAAGGAAATATCATTCCTGGAGAGTGACGTCATCAAACTGGCAGTCAGCTCCAAACTCATTTTTCCAATTTTACTAAAACTGCTGCTTTCATGCCGTGAGGAAGTGCATTCCCCAGAAGATCATGGAACAGAGAGGATACAGTGTTGGGGATATCAGGCTTCATAGCAAGGAGATGTAGTCTGCAGGGTCCTAAAACTCTTCTACATGGGTGGTTGTTTATGTTCTCCACTCTGAGCATTCCATCTGTCTCATTCTTTCTGCTAATCAGCAGAGGGAGAAGCCCTAGGAGTATCATTTTCTGATTATCCTTGCCACAAACTCCAAGGATTAAAACTGAAACAGATGCAAACAGGTTGGTCCACAATCTAGATTTTGCTTTGTAAGAGATATTTGCTTCATGCAAAACACATCAAGCTATTTTTAAGTTGTACCCTTAAAAGAAGCCAATGTCTAAAGGCAGAGTTTTAAGCAAGGGATGGATTAAAAAAAAGTAAATAGGCATGAATTTTTTTTTTTAATTTTTTTTCCCAACGTTTATTTATTTTTGGGACAGAGAGAGACAGAGCATGAACGGGGGAGGGGCAGAGAGAGAGGGAGACACAGAATCGGAAACAGGCTCCAGGCTCTGAGCCGTCAGCCCAGAGCCTGACGCGGGGCTCGAACTCACGGACCGCGAGATCGTGACCTGGCTGAAGTCGGACGCTTAACCGACTGCGCCACCCAGGCGCCCCAGGCATGAATTTTTTTTTAAGTAGTCTCTGTGCCCAGTGGAGGAGCCATGTGGGGCTTCATCTCATGACCCTGAGATCAAGACCTAAGCTGAGATCACAAGGCCGACAACTGACTCTGCCACTCAGGCACTCTTAGCATGATTTGTTGTGTGCAACATGTTACAGATCATCAAGGTTATGTTTATTCTGTTTTCCATTTAAAACTATGCACCATACAGATTATTGAAAATAATGAAAATAAGAATGAAATTCTCTACTTCTGTCAGTTGATCAGGGTTCCTCTTTTTGTGTGCATCCTTCTAAACTTTCAAAAATGTATGTACATATCTATACTTGTAGATATATAAAGAAAGTTGTGTGTTTTCTTTTGACACAGATTGTCATGCCATATGTATTATTTTTCATTTTGCTTTCCCAGGGAGGTTTCTTCAGGTCATTTACATGGATTCACTCATTCTTAGTAATGGCCGTGTAATATTTCACCATAATCCTTGATGTACTATAATTTAGTTAATGATTCCTCTATTAGTAGACATTTACTTAATTCCAATTTTCCTCCCTGATAAACGGTGCTGAAAAAAAAAGCACATCTCTCTATGTATATTTTTGCAAACTCTTAGCAATAACTTGGCAAAAGTCCTGGAATTGGAGTTGCTAGACAAGAGATATTGAACAGTTTGGTGGTTGAGAGATATGTCACACTGTGTTCCAAGAATGGCATGTAAATTTATACCATCACCGTGGTCGTTTTATCCTTACATAAAACATTTAGAACAATTGAAATAAATAAATAAATAATTGAAATAAAAAAATAGAATAATTGAAAGCGAATACATATATAAGACTATTAAATATGACTCTTAGACCAGAAGGACAAGACATAAATATTGAGCACTTTCAGAACTGTGACTCATTCATTCTGTTTCTTTTTTCTCTTTGGTGTGCTCCTGGTTTGATTTCATGATGCCTCTACCCTGTCATCAGTCAACGGGAATTGAATCACCTGTACCTCAAACTGACGGGCCTGTTTTTCAGTTATCTGGCCTGGGCTTTGGGCATCAGTCTAGCCAACAGCAGATCCTGGCGCCTGTGGGAGTGTAACAGCAACATTGTTTCCATTGTGTACATTGGACTTTGGGAAGCTTTCTACTTTCAAAAATTTAGCATCTCTGGTGCAATTGTTGAGTGGCCTATGTATGGCAGGATCAATGGAAGCTGGGTCATTTCAGATGAAATCTGGTATGGGCAGGGCCTGATATTGTTGGCAAATTCTTTGAATTCCATAGTCCTGATTTTTGGTTCAGTGTCACTTGTGGTCTGCTGGATCCATGCCCCATACCCAGATTTCCTTCGATTGTGTTACAACATCTCTGCCTTCTTTCTCATCTGTAGTTGTAGTTGTACTATGATTACAGTGAGCTGAAATTTTGCTGTGGATTTTTATGGCCAAACCATCCTTGATTTCCCACTTAGTTTTCCCATTGGAAAAGAAATGCTGATAAGGAAATGCTTCTTCTATGTATTCCCACTAGGAATCACAGCTACCTTGCTCTTGCTAATAAGTGCCACAATGTTCTTCTGTGAAACATTTTCCATAAAACAGTGGAGTAAAATGAAACCCGTGACTGTGGGCAATTGTCTCAAACAAAAGATCTGAATGAAAGCCCTACTGTTTGGAATGGCTGCCAATAATTCTCTTGAAGAAATGTCCTACACATACATCATATTGTAATCACCTAAAATAAAACAGATTTGGTTTTTAGGGTGTGTCTGAAGCTTTTATTCTCCTTTGCTACTTTTTTCTGCAAACATCTTCCTTTCTTTAAGAATTTCAGTTCCTAAAATGTGTAGGTAAACATGTTGTGTGCATACACTATCAAAAATTAAAGGCAGGAAAAAAATACTTGGATTCTGCAAGCACACAGGTGCAAGCATCAATACATACAACCAACTCTAACTTGAAGTAGAGGTTTTACATACGCTCATACAGAAAAAATACACACAGAAATATAGTCATGTTAAGAGCCTAGAGATCTTTAAGGCATTATAATTGGTTGGATTAGAACAGGGTTTATCCAGGGGCGCCTAGGTGGCTCAGTCGGTTGAGCTTCCGAGTTCGGCTCAGGTCATGATGTCGCCGTCCATGAGTTCCAGCCCTGCGTCGGACTCCGTGATGACAGCTCGGAGCCTGGAGCCTGTTTCAGATTCTGTGTCTCCTTCTCTCTCTGACCCTCCCCCATTCATGCTCTGTCTCTCTCTGTCTCAAAAATAAATAAACTTAAAAAAAAATTTTTTTTAACAAAAAAAGAAAAAGAACAGGGTTTCTCCAAGTCAGCACAATTGACATTTTGGGCTAGGTTTGTTGGGGGTGAGGGACTATGTTGTACACTGTAGGATGTTTATCAGCATCTGTTGCCTCTACCCACTAAGTGTGAGGGGTCCTTCCTCCCCACTTCTGTTGGGATAAAAAAAATCTCCAGACATTTCCCAATATCCTCAGGAGCAAAATTGCTCCCCATTGAGAACCTCGGGGTTACAGGTAGCCAAAGACCCTGGCTAAAGAAGGCTATGGCACGTTAGGAGGATTTTGAGGAAAGCTATTGAATATAATTGTATTGGCTCAGTGCATGATAGCATCCTGGGTCTTTGACTACCTTTAACTCAAGGATCTGCTGGGGGTGATTTTGTGCCTTCCACCATGGAACATTTGGCAATATCAAAAAATATAATTTTGGGGGCGCCTGGGTGGCGCAGTCGGTTAAGCGTCCGGCTTCAGCCAGGTCACGATCTCGCGGTCCGTGAGTTCGAGTCCCGCGTCAGGCTCTGGGCTGATGGCTCAGAGCCTGGAGCCTGTTTCCGATTCTATGTTTCCCTCTCTCTGCCCCTCCCCTGTTCATGCTCTGTCTCTCTCTGTCCCAAAAATAAATAAACGTTGGAAAAAAATTTAAAAAAAAAAATATATATATATATATAATTTTGAAGTATAAAACTCTATAGTAGTCTTAGGTAGCCTAGCTAGATAGGGGGTAAATCTAAAGAAATTGCCTGAAACACAGCCTGGAAGATGAAGAAATTCACAACATGGAACAGCACTTACAAGACCTTGAAAACAGAGTGAGAAGGCTCTGTGTATGTCTCCAGGCATTTTAGTGCAATACACACTGTGAAAAAGTTGACATTTAAAGTGACACTGAAATTTTTCCAGAATTAATGAAATAGCTGAATCCTCAGGTTGAGAAGGTACACTGAGTATGGAGTAGGATATATAAAAAGAGATTCACACCTCCTCTAGTGAAAATGCAGAGACTTCAGATACAAGGAGAAATTCTTAAATGACACTAGAGAGAAAACAGAAATTAAATGATAAAAGATTTACAATTAGACCAACAAATGCAATACTTCTCAACAAAGAGCAAAACAGTAAAATATTACCTTCAAAGTGCTGATAGAAAATAATGGTCAGTTGGTAATTCTATGTCTACTAACCCCTCACTAGAGAATAAGGACAAAACAAAGACTTTTTTTTTTAACTTTTTTAATGTTTATTTATTTTTGAGACAAGGAGAGACAGAGCATGAATGGGGGAGGGTCAGAGAGAGAGGGAGACACAGAATCTGAAATAGGCTCCAAGCTCTGAGCTGTCAGCACAGAGCCCGACGCTGGGCTCGAACTCATGGACAGGGAGATCATGACCTGAGCTGAAGTCGGATGCTTAACTGACTAAGCCACCCAGGCGCCCCCAAAGACATTTTTAGATAAAGAACTTACAAAACGGGCCCTTTGTGAAAAAAATAATTGAGCCCAGAATGAAGGAGTTGAATCAAGAAGCAATCATAAACAAAGAAATTGGTAAACATACGGGCATATCTAAATTAGAACTTATTGTAATTTTTAAATGTCAATATTATGGAGTTCACAGATAGCATGTAAAACAAAGGAGGAATAATTAGAACATATGTTTTTAATTGTTTGTTTATTCTGAGTCATTAATTAACTTGAGATTTTAAGTGAGTATATATGAGTATACAAGGACTGGAAAGGAGGAAACAAAATTGTGATTTTTCCAAGGCAACATGGTTATATAGAAAATCCAAGACTGAATAATCATGATTTCATTTATATGAACTTTCTAAGATAAGTTAAGATGGCAGAGGAATAGGAGGACCTTAAGCTTGTGTCCACCCTCAAATACAGCTAGGTAAATATCAAATCATCCTGAACACCCAAGAAATCAATTTGGGAACTGGAAAGAACAAAACTGCAAGTTGACAAGTAGAAAAATGTCCACCTCATGGAAGATAGGAGATGTGGAGAGTTGATTTGGGTCAGATAAGAATTGTTGATGCTGTGGATGTAGCCCTGCTTACAGAGATTACAAGTTCTTATAAATAGAAAAGCACAAAATCTGAAATTTTAGAAGTATGCCATCATCAGGGTTGTGCCCAACTATGCTACTGTGGGGAAGGAGGGCAGAGACCCAGAAGCAGACAGCATGTTCTGATGCTCCCTTGTGTCCCACAGGGAGGAAGGGTTCCCATTCTTGCAGTGAATTTGGGAACAGCAGAGAGGCCTCTCTGAAGACAAAAACACTCATGGCTCCAACATGCTGCACTGTTCTTAGGCATAGGAACAGGGACAATGGCTGAGGGCGGCAAGCTTTGGTGCTGGCTTTCTGCTGCACTTTGTTATAAACTCCAAACAACTGTGTGGCTGTGCAATCTCTTTCCTGGGATGAACTGGCAAATGGCAAAAATGTGGTGAGATTCAGTTGTGGTCTTTGGTGTGGGAGTCCATAAAATTTGGAATTTAGAAATCTAGCTGACCCCTGAGATAAAACACAGGGATACTATGTTGCTTGGCAGGCAAATGACTCAGGCACAGAGTGAGGGTAGAGATCTGACGGAAGTCAGGTACACAGGAGGGTGATTGTTTGCTCTTCTTAGAAGGCTCCCTGAAGAGTGGTGGGAGCAAAGTCTCCATTCCAGGGATGAGAGAGCAGGGAGATGCCATTTCCTGTCCCCATCCATCATCAGTGACTGACCTCAGTGAGCTAAACAGTGCCAACATGTGGAGACTAAAGCCGCTTACACCAAAACTCACCCCTGTGCACCTCACAGATGCATCTAAGGCATGAGAATCAGCTAAACATGACCTCCCACCCTGCCCCTGCCCAGAACACCAGCATAAAACCCTCACTCACACCAAGTATACTGATCAAGAAGCTGAATCCTGCAAGAACCTTGAAAGAAAGAGCAGGAATAAGAAGTAATGACCAGGGATTTAATCAATACAGATATAAGATACCTTTACTAGAATTTGAAACAACAATCAGTTGTCAACACTCAGTCAGTTGAGTGTCTGATTCTTGATTTTGGATCAGATAATGATCCTAGGGTCATAGGTCAAACCCCATGTTGGCTCCACACTGAGTATTGAGGCTGCTAAAGATTCATTCCCTCTCTTTCTTCCCCTTCCCCCATTTGTGCATGTTCTCTCTCTAAAATCATCATCACCATCATCATCATCATTATCATCATCATCCCAGAAGTTTTAAAAACAAAACAACAAGCATGACGATATCAGCTAGTCTTGAAAAAAGCACAGAAGACATCAGAGAATCCTTGTTGCAGAGATAAAAGAACTAAAGTCGAGTCAGGCTGAAATTTAAACAGCTGTAACTGAGATGCAAACCTGAATGGATGCCATGGCAATGATGATGGATGAAACAGAGGAATGAATCAGTGATACAGACAATAATATTATGGAAAATAATGAAGCTGAAAAGACGAGAGAAAGAAAGTCATTGAATCATTAATGTAGACTTGTGGAATTCCGTGACTCCTTAAAGAAATAACATTCATATCATCAGAGTCCCAGAAGATGAGAAGAGAGAAAAAAGAGGAGAAGGTTTATTTTATCAAATTATAGCCAAAAACTTCCCTGATCTGGGGAAAGACACTCATAGAAATCCAAGAAGCACAGAGAACTCTCATTAAATTCAACCAAAGCCAGCCATCACCAAGACATATCAGGGTCAAATTCACAAAATATAGACAAGGAAAGAATCCTGAAAACAGCAAGGGGGGGAAAATCCTTAACCCACAAAGGAAGACAGAACATATTCATAGCAAATCTGTCCACAGAAATTTGGCTGGCCTTAAATGAGTTGCAGGATATATTCAACTACTAAATGGGAAAAATATGCTCTATTCAAGAATAGAAGGAGAGATAAGAGATAGGTTTCCCTAACGAAAACTAAAGGAATTTGTGACCACTAAACCAGACGTGCAAGAAATATTAAAGGAGACTCTTTGAGTGAGGAAACAAAGACCAAAAGCAACAAAGTCTAGAAAGGATCAAAAAACACCTCCAGAACCACTCATTTTACAGGTAACACAATGGCATTAAAGTCATATCTATAAATAAGCACTCTAACTATAAATGGACTAAATGCTCCAAAAGACATAAAATATCAGAATGGGTTTAAAAACAAGAACTATCCATATTCTGCTTACAAGAGACTCATTTTAGACCTAAACACACCAGCAGATTGAAAATGATGAGATGTAGAACAATTTATAAAGCTAATGCACCTCAAAAGAAATCTAGAGTAGCCATACTTTTATCAGACAAACTAGATTTTAAAACAAAGACTGTAACAAGAAATGGAGAAGGTATTATATCATAATTAAGTGGT